ACCTTGACGGAAAAAAAAAAAATAACGTGATAAAATATTGTTAAAAGAAAAAAATCCGCTTATTGTTGCGCGAATTGTTAATGTTTCCCTCATGCATAGGAATTGGATGAATACCATCATGAAACTGATGTGAATGTGAACACAAAAGAAGTCAACAGGTTTTAGCTATGATTCAGCATCAGTAAAAGAACCGGTTTTTTTCGCATATATCTGTTCATTCATTATACAATCAAATAGAAAAAAAAATGATTGCACAATTTTTGTTTTGATCATCTGCCATCCTCGAATGTTATTTTTAGGCTGCATTCTTCATTTCAATTAATGCGTATAATGAATCTACTATGAATCTATGATTCAATATATACTTATATATATATATAAGTATATGTGAGTGTAGATAAAGCAATTTTCGACTTGATAATCTTTTTGGAACTTTCTCGAGTTCCGGTTTCACTACTGGCCACATCGGACAATACTACGATTGCTAGTGAACTCGTCTTGGACGATGGATACGCGCGAAAGCAGGGAAAGTATATCTCAATTCACTATGCTTGACATACATATTAATGGAGACGAATTCTTTAAACATCGTTGATATCATGCTCAAGAAACTCAATGATGGTTAAATGAAAAGAATATCTAGAACTGTAAAAGAAAAAAATTCATTAAAAAGTTAAAAGTTCAAGAAATTTTGAAAGAATAAATTTCAATATTGTGCATTAATTCTATATAATAATAATAATACAATATTTTATACGACATTGCATAAATTCTTTCTACAATATACGCCTACCTGATAAATATCATAAAAGACAATTATTATGCATATCACATATGCATGAATCCAAATGATAATTAGTAATTAACAATCATTATCTATATACTAACAATATATATTTAGATACTATGCTTAGTTTTCTTTTTTACTTACAATATTATCTATAAATTTGTTAGAAAAATAAAAACCATTTGAAATTTATTGAATATTCAATCCGTTTAATTTAAATGGTTATTTTATAGACCCGCAATTCTCTTCCTTCACGGAAGAGAGAAGAATGAAATTGATAGATTCATGACATATAATTTCTGCGTCAACGATTTATACTCGAAGGTTATTTAGAAAACAGTGTATTTCTATAAAGATAATTCTTTATATATACATAAACAAATCTCAAAATATTTAATGTAATACAAGATTATAAAATATAGAAGAAGAAATTTAAATCTTAAAAATTGCATTACTTTGTTTTTATTTTTATAATTGGAAAATTTTTTAAATTTTTATAAAATCAAATAACCGTAGAGATTATAATAGAATCGTATACAATTATGAATCCATGTATACTATTTGTAAATAACCGTAGATTATAATAGAATCGTATACAATTATGAATTCGTGTATGCTATTTGTAAAAAAGTTGAGAGAGTAATCGATATATCAATAGTTAAGTTGTAAATACGATTTTCATGTTTGTAACGGGCGATACTCTAATTCTAGATACTAGCACATTTTATTCCGAATCATGGGTTTTTTCACAAGGTATATTTTGTTACAAGGTTTCCATTTAAGAATGTCTTTGCAAGAACACGATCGTGGAAAATTACATTCTTCTCATATGCTATACACACAATTGATTAATTTCTTTGACTATGCTCTTGACTGCTAGCAATCATTTTGTTTATTATTTTTGATATTTATACAACGTAATGAATAAAACGATAACCATTTTTAAAATTTAGAAAAAACTTCGTGTATAAAATGTTAGAAAAGAATAATTTCACAAAACATTTTTTATAATACTAATTAATGATGTAGTATTTAGTCACGTATTGCATCCAGAATCACTTCCGTGGTATCGTTATACAAGACACGTATCTTAAGCTGCAGTATTCAAGTGTGAATAATTATTCAGCGACAAGTTGCGTTTCATAAAACGCGATGTAATTAGAAAATTATGAATATTAAAATAAAACTTGAGAATCTCCGAATGAACAATTATTAACAAATTTCTTCATTTTCAATTTCAATCATTGTTCATATTTTATGATAAGAATTTTTGAAAAGTAGCATCATCCTTCTTTGGATAAAAATATCAAATTCAATATATGCCTATGTGTTTAAGAATTATTGAAATATTATTGGAGCATCTTTTTATAGAAATAATGCGCAGTTATTTGTACATAAGCATGCATGTCAACATGACTCGTGGTTACAAGAGAGACAAGACGAAAACGACAACGTCTGCTTCTCTTGCTCTGTGACTTTCTCACAGTGCCGTAGCTAGTTTATATTGTAGAGGGTTATTAAAATTTTCCAACTACGTAATTATCTTGTCTTTGTTTTCTTCCAATTCTTTTTTTTATAAAATTATCATAAGATTTATCTTTTCTTCTTCTGACAACAATGAAATTATCAAGTTTATCGAAGATGAATTAAAATATAAAGAATAAAAAATCACATTTATACGAATGCAAAACTCGAAGGATTTTTATTTATTCTTTTTTAAAAATAAAATATAAATTTGAACTTTCTTTTAGAACTTTCTAAAAAATTTATTTATAAAAGAAAAGAGAAATTCCAAAAAATCTTATTTATTTAAAATAAAATATACTTCTGTTTTGAACTTCTGTATTCTTAATGAAATAAATTGCTAAAACTACAATCATTTGCAACTATTTGTTTCACTTTGCATTTATTTATTTATTTTTTTTTTATTTTTTTGATTGCATCATAATTTATTAAAAATCTTAATCGTATACTTCAATTGATCAAGTAATAAATGTGATTTTGTAAAATAGAATTAATAGACTTACGAAAAGTATAATAATAATATAGCTGAAAGTTATCAATATATATATATATATACACTTTATAAATTCTTTTACGTAACTACAATTACACATTAGTTACACATTTTGAGATTATTGCTATTGGTCGATTATTATTTTTGATGATAAATTTCAAAATACATAAACATGTATGTACATTTGAAAAAAATATATGTTTATATCAAATTTAATCGGTTCAAAGATTATTGAATAAAAAGGACTTGTCTCTTTATAAATATATCCTGAAATCAAAATATTTTTTAATATTATTATATTTATAATATATGAATTAAAAAAAAGAATATATAGTAGAATAAATAATAAAATATTTAAAAAATAATAAAAACAGATGAAATGAATGAAAAGGGGTAATATTCCGAGAGAATGACATGTTCTCCTGAGGACGACAGGCATTCAGTGAATTATTCTTCGAAATGATGTGAATCGAATCTTTCCAACTATGCACTGGGTGACTTCTTAAAAACTTTAACTTTTTGCAAACTTCTTTTGTAAATTCTACATTGAATTCTACATTAAATATTTAAATTTATTGCAGATAAATTATAAAAAAAAAACATAAAAGATAAAAATTGATAATAAGATCAATTGAAAGCATAAGAAAGTTGTATCATATTAAGAGCGGTAGTGATTTGCACGGGTCAGAAGTGGGCGTTTGTATGATATGAAAAATTATCTGCACTCGGCAACGTGTGTAAATTTATTAAACGATAAGTACGGTAAACAGTCTCTCTTGCTATAAGCAATGGAAGCATTTCATTGAATTAGTTACAACGAAAAGGGAACTTGCACGTACGTACCGTGCATTTGTCGTGACATCAGATACATTTTCGCCGTACGAATACAAAATAAGTTAACTGTGATATGGCTACGGTGAACGTGTTATAAAAAGTTTAAAATGTTTTTATGACGTTTTGTGGTATCTACAGGACACCACATTCCCACTATGTCCTTGAATTAATTCACTATATGACATCAGAAATTTGATTTATCCGTTGAACCATTTCTGGTGTTTACATTTTTAAATTATCAATATTTAAAAGTTTGTGAAATTATTCGGTAACATGACAAATAAAATAAAATTTCAACATTATATTTATGAAATTTATTTTCCCAAATAATTGTCATTTGTGCATTTCTAACATTGGAGAATGAGTAATTAAAAGTTCACCAAATAAGATGCGCAAAACAGTAGCACTTAAGACAAAGAAGCGCGAATCGATAGTGTTTGAAATCCTAAACACCGCAAGTCACGTGAAAAACAGAAAGCGCGAAGAGGAAAAATGTTTTCACCAGAAATATGCTATGAAATATGTCATGAAATAATCTATGATCACCTTTCTGTTAAAGGAGCGTTGCATTTACTAGCGTTGTCTAGATCATGAGTAGAAGTTTATGTTTGTCTGTGTTCTTGATCTACCCTACTCTATCTCTTGCCTTTCGCTATTTCGTATTTGTTCGTATCGCGTAAAAAATGCCAAAATAGAAAGTCTCATGCCTCTAATTTAAAAACACTTTTGTTATTTTCTCTTTTTCTCTTTCCATAAATACCGGTGTGAGACAATGAAAAAATTAAAAAGAGTTCCATTCTTTTTAGACTATAAGATCATTCTATAATTGAATATTTTCACTCACCGACAGCGATGAATTATTGTACAACTCGACAATTGACGTTTCTACACTGTCGTCAGCTTTCCCTGGATATAATCCACCTGTTCCGACAACACAGAACCCACCAATGCGAATAGAAAAAAATCTGTTTCAGAGTCAGGCGGGCCTACCGAGTAGATAGCTCCCTCTACGAATGAGACATACATTCGCCGCCATGTCTAATCGTTTGAGTAGCCATATTTATTGTTATATGGCGGCATGTTTCAAACATGCTTAAGTGAATTATTGTAACAATCTAAAAATAAATTATATATAAAATATACTTTTTGTCTTAAAATATAATTCAAATATTTATTGCTATATTTATTCGTATCTTCTTATTACACTTTCTTGTATCAAAGAAAAATCCTAAAGAGAATAATTTGCTCGTTATATAAAATTTTAAAAATATTTCTTCTATTATTTACTATATAAAATATAAAGTGATTAGGCTAAAAATTTTTTAAAAAATTTCATACTATTTTTATTGCATATTAAAAAAAAGTAGTTTATAAATGCCCTTGACCGTTTTAACGCGGACAGAACTGTTAGTTGCTCTAACATTCAACATGGCCACCTGATATGTAGCAGACGATACAGGTGGTATGAAAAATTGTAAATAAAATTCAGTTTTACTTTTAATTATGAGTGGACGTGTGCAGAAAGAAAGTGGCGATGAATCTGATCGTATTGAAGATGCAGTGGATCCTAGAGTGCAGGTAAACCAATGTATTCTTATAAGAATAATTTATAGACTTCTAAACCTAGCTACTTGTGATATTGACATTTCCACGTTGCCTTAAAGTAAAACACTTAAATAAAATATCTTATTTTTTATAAAAATTACATCTTACTTATTCAAATGCTTAATATTTGCATATTTACTATTAAAAATTCGATATTTTTCTGTATGTATACATTTTTTTTCTATATTGAAAAATAGTTATATTTTTGTTAAATTTTTGATTATTCATTCATTTTATGATTAAGAGTAAATCAATTCTTTTCATTAATTCAAAAACTAATATTATACATTTATAATATTTTATTATATAGCATAATATTTTTTAATTATAATTTATATTAAAAATTTTATCATATTATAATTTCATAAAAAATATTATTTTAGATTGAACTTGAAAGATTAAATACTGCTACTGATGATATTAACAAACTTGAAGTTGATTTGGATGTAAGTATAATTATTAAAGTTTATATATTGTTATAGATTTTATATTTTTTATACAAATAATTTTTTGCATTGTAATGAATTAAAATAACTATCTCCCTCTTTGGAGGATTAAATTAGTAGTAAGTTTTGAAACTGGGTGTGATTACATTTCATTGAGGTGATTGCTGTAAAGTGTATGAGTAAATGGATAATGGCTTCAAAGATCATCTTATGGTCATTTATAACATGGTCTAAAGAAACACTTTATGATTTGAAATTCTATGTCTATCCAATTTGTTAAAGTGAATAAAAATGTTTAAAAATATGAACTATACTTCAATGATTGATTATTCAATAGATTTTTATTTTCAGGAAGCAAGAGCAACTTTTAGGGAATTACTTTGTGAATCTACATTAAAAATTGATAGCTTAGCTAAGAAACTTGGTACATGTATTGATAAATCTAGGCCATATTATGATGCTAGATTTAAAGCAAAAGAAGTAAGAATTATTTTTAATTAATATATTATAATACATTTTATATTTGTTAAATTAATGTATATTTCAAGGCTTTACATGAAACACAAAAGGCTGCAATTAGATTTGAAAGAGCCAATAGTCAGCATGCAGCAGCAAAAGAAATGGTTTACTTAGCTGAAGAAGGATTAAGAACAGAGGGAAGATGTTTTGATCATGCTTGGCAGGTAATTTTTATATTATATAAAATTCTTATTGGAAATTAATGAAATTAATGAAATTTTTTATAGGAAATGTTAAATCATGCAACTGCCAGAGTTAATGAATCTGAGCATGAACGAGCTTTATCAGAAGCAGAACACAGACATACTACTGCTCTATATCATAAAGCAGAACATGAAGTTCAAAGATTACAACGTGAACTAAAACGTGCAATTGCTAAATCTAGGTGTGTGTAATTAATGTGTATTTATTAGAACTTAGTAATATTGAATGATTTTTTAGTTTATTTAATAATGCATGGAATGTATTGCATTTATTTGATATAATATATATACCTTAATTTTAGAATCTAATTTTAGAATTTTCTTGCTCCATGATTTTAACATTTTTGTTTATTTTCTTCCTATATCAATATTAATGATTTATGTTTTTATTCTATGTTATGTTAATTTTATATAGATATTAGAATATTTATGTCTTTTGGTTTATATTCATGTTGGCAGTATGGGTGCACGTCGCAGCTTGCTTCTGATAAACAGTATCGCCTACAGGCACAACTTGCTCATGTTGTAAGTAGGATAGAAATTATTTTTTTATTTTTTTATACAATATTTATTTTATATGTCTGCTATTCATAAATCCCCTTTTGACAATTTATTTTCTAATTTATCATCCTGTTTTTATGCACGAATTATATTCTTATAAAATATTTCATAGACAAAAATTTTGTTTTATTAAAAAATGCTTTGTATGATATTTATTTTATAGCATATAATTAAAAATGAATTTAATAAAAATATCAAGTTTTTCTGAAATGTAATATAAATTTTATTAATCTTTAAATAATTTATTATATAGGCCATATTACGAAATGAAAGCGCATTTTAATCAAATGTTGGAAGAACAAAAATTAAGAGTAAGTGCATTAGAAAGATCAGTTGGTGAAGCTAAAATGACGTATGCAGAAGCACTCAGAAATTTAGAAAAAATCAGCGATGAAATTCACAGGGTATAATTGTTTTTTATTATTTAAAATCAGAATATTCTTAGATTGAAATAAAATATTATTTCTTACTTACAGACTAGAAAATATGATGGAGCGGATGATTTTGATAAATCTTCGAGAGATACCATTGACCAACAACCTTCTTTACAACCCAATACAACAACTTCAACTGATTCTAGCGTTACTGGATCACCCGATAGTACAGATTATACTAGTGATGAATACTTACGCCTTCCTGATAAGATGAGTCCTAATACACAATGCCCTGTGCCTACAAGAGTAATTATATTTTATAATATCAATAAAATATATCATATAAAATATATATAAATGGATTTTTTTAAATATATTAATAATTTTTGTATATATTTTTATTCAGATCGATAGAGAGCTTTCTTCTGAATATTTGGGCCTAAGCAATTTGAATCTCTCATCCACAGAACCTCGAAAATATATAAAGCGAGACCGTCCAAAAAGCATTGCAGCAACTGATACAAAACATATCATAACGCTAAATCAGACAAGTTCTTCAACTTCAAGATTATCAGACTTATCAAATATTCTTTCTCCTATAGAAAAACGAGTAAAAATACAAACACCAGTAGATACAAAAAATACTAATACTACAGTACAAAATGGAGAAGAATGGACAGAAATTAGTTTAAATAATTCTCCAGACGAGATATATTACAATAATGAAGTATATTCTGACGATGAAGATCAAATTCCTTACAAACCATTACCAATGGACTTAAGTCCGGAAAGTAATAATCCACCTGTTAATGGTGCAAATATTGAATCATTCAATGAATTATCTAGTCGAAAAAAATTAGTAACTCAAAAATCATTACCTACTATGCCAAAAGGAAACGAAATTAGTTTAAGCAATGAAAAGAAAATAGAAGTAACAAGAAGTCCATCAATAAAAAATAAAAGTAAACTTGATACTAGTTTAACTAATTGGATAACCAGAAGTTCTGCTGGTAGTGAGGCTAGCGGAGGCAGTTCAGGTAAATATATTCAGCAATATACATTTTTTAAAATATGTATAATGGTATCACATATAAATATCAATTTTTTTTAAATTGCTGTAGCTAATTCGAGTAGAAGACAATCTCTTGATATGTTATGGAGTGCCGGCACGGGAGAAAAAGTAAAAGAGTTTCTCAATCATGGAATGATGATATTGAACATATCTAGCCTTACAGATCGACGTTCTAACGAGCCAAAGATAGTAGATAGGGATAAGGAAAAATGTGAAAAATCTGAAAAAGTGGAAGGAAAAGGAAAAAAAGTTCCTAGTCCATTGGAAAAAACAATGACCTATCTTAATGCTGATGAAGAAACATCCGATAGTGAAAGTTTAGCAAGGTATCTATTTTTTTGTAAATATCTTATTACATTATGAATTACATTATTTCTTCTTCATTCTTCTTCTTCATAATCCAATTACATAAAAATTTTACAATTAGTGTGGAAATGTTAACGGAGGATCAGATTTCTTCACTTATGATGGAACCTGACATGAATCAAGTATGTCAAGAAATTTTAGGAACACCTTTAGTTGAAGTGTGTCCATTATTGCAACAATTGCAACAACAACAATAGCACTACTTTTCTTGACATTAATGATTTAATCGAGTCGAAACAAAAAAATAATAGAAAATGTTCAGAAACTATAATAAAAATGACAAGGGATAGCTTTATTTATTATTAAAATTAGTGCAATTAATTCCTGCACTTTTATTATATGTATATGATAGAAACAGAAGATTTAATTTTCGAGCATGGATCTTTTTTTTCTATTTTAAAGAATCATCGTGATTTGAATCGCTTCATTAAATTGTTATATACAACAATTGCATGTCATTTGAATGATACATAATTTGTAAATATGATAAACATTCATAAAGATTTTAAATAGCGTATATTTAATTTTTATTATTGATGTGACTATCATATCGAATTTATTTACATATAATATTTAGTATATCTTATCAAAATTTAATCAGTAAAAAGACGACATTTAGAGAGTTTTCAATAAATGTTACATAAAAATTATTATTTCGTTCGTTTCGCTCATATAAATATGTTGATGTACCTGTAAAATAATAATAAGAGAAAAAAAGAGAAATGAAGAAAGTAAAATTTCTCATAAAGTTTTTAGATTAAAGATCCACCGATAGAAAATCTTTTGTCTCTCTATGTTAAGAGTACAACTGTATAAGCAATTCATTTTTTATATTGCTGAATATGCAAGAGCAAATGTCAGTCGAAAATTAAGATATAATAATTATAATCTTCTTCAAAGTGCTAAGTAGAATTTATTAGATAAGAGGATATGATTCTAAATAGAAAATTGACGGCTTTGATAAGCATGATATTCCAGATACCAAGCTTTAATATAATTGTAATAATGTTCATCTACCAAAGCTCAGCAGAACATTTTTAAAGAATCTTTCTTTAATTCTGATAACGAAGTATATAATATTTATTACTATGTACCTTATAGTTAACAAAATATGTAAATCATAATTGATATATTTGAATAATTGAATTATGCATTTAGACAATCTAACTATGAATCAGTTTTAATGCCTATTATTTAATTATTAATTAGTAAATATCTAAATATAATTTGTAAATTTATTTTATAAAAAGATTATTAAGATTAATTCTAAATTTCTCCTGTTATATATACAATTAGATATGTAATTAAATGAATTTAATATTTGGAAAAGTTGGATTGTTTAATTGCATTAAAAAGTAGTCTATAAAAGATGCATGCAGTATGCCATTTAAAAAGAGTAATATATATAAATATGTATATGTATATATATACATGTGTATATGTACATTTATATGTATACATATGCAGATATTATTTATTTTTATTGCATAATTTTCTGTAAACAGTATTTGTTAATACTATATTAAATAAGATTAACAGATTTTTCTATGAAGAAATAAAATAGGTCAAATAGATGACCTTATTACATGCAGAAAGCTATACCAAAGATAAATAAAATACAATTTAAGATAAACAAATAAGTGCAATACAAATTTTTGATAGTGATTTAATCAGGTCATTTCTTTTTTAATCTTACAAAATTTGAAATTAAGAGTATGATAAATTCATATTAATTGAAAATTTCTATTCCACTACTATTTATCATGACATTATATAATTTATATGTACATATATATAAATTATATGTAAAAAAATGTATACCTTTTAATGACAAATATTTTTTGAAAATAATTATTTTTAAATATTTCTTTTGAAAAATTTGATAAAATTTTTTAATACATTTAGTTCTCTACAAAAGAATAAAAAAATAAAAGATATATTAGTTCTTATTCGTTCTATTACAATATAGTTATAATTATATAAAGTTATATAATATAATTATAATTATATTATGTTAAAATTATATAATTTTATATAAATTGAATTATTAAATCATGCAAAATTCTTTAATAAATTAAAATACGCGCGCGCACATAAAATGTGTTACAAATAAACTATTATATATTGAAATATTTGAAACCATTGCCGTCGAAACTTATATAATTATATTGTTATCTTGCAAGTTGAAAATGATCATGCTCTTAAATATTTTATTAAATATTTTTTTGCCTAAAATTTAACGATAATAATGTTGCATATAATGCAAGCGCGTAACTTGCGTAATAGTGATTGTAAATATATAACATTGTATATGTGATTGTAACTATGTATATATATTATCATCTTCATTAAAATACGGTTGCAGAAATACATAGCTAATGACAAATGTATTACCTATGTCTATGTCTTTCGTATCTTCTATTTCATTTTTAATATTTTTTTTTTTAATAAATTGAATTTTATCAATAAAATTAAATTGAACTAATATTAATAAAAAAAACTTGATTTTTTAATTGTTCAAATATTATTCGAATAAAATATTTGAATAAATAATTTATATATATATTTGAATAAATATTTGAAATTTTGAATTTAAATTAATAAATTGCAAATAATTAAATTCAAGCGGACATATTCGTATAAAATTTAAAAGTTTGAATGAAAAAAAAATATGAAATGAAAAAACGCAAAGCATACATAAAATTAAATATTCTATACATCAATTTTATAAATTAATCAATTAATATTTGCGTATATTAACGTATTTATAATGTTTAAAATGCTAAAAATGCAAAAATATTCGTAAAATATTTGAAATGAACAATCGATAGTTACAACGACGCCCGTTTGAACTAATTGGCGTTGTAATCGTTTAGGAGAAAGAGAGATAGATGATTAAGAAATCAAAATGGCGTCGCGTGCACGGTGCCGATAATTTTCGTTACATTAGAATGTTCGTTATTATTTTTTGTGCATGATACAAGTAAAATGCGAGCAATATATGCAATTAAATGAGTGACATTTAATGAAATTTTATATGAGAAATTGTGAAATAACATCATTCTTGTAGCATCATAATTTTGGAATAACTCGCTCGACAACCGTTGTGAGACAATCTAAGAAAAAGTACTGTTTTGCGTATGGCTTTTAAACTGCACAGACAGTTTCATATCGCCGTTAACCGTGTTCTTTGTGAAAAACATCATTGACATGACGAAAGGCGTGTGTTTAATTTTCGTGCATTGTGAAACTACGACGAGCTATGTGCTTTGACGTGCACGAGTGAAAACTAGTTTCGTTCAAAGACTCGTGAAGGTGTGGAGACGACGTGCGTGTTAGCCACCATGGCGGTGAATCCGCGTGATATGGACGGTTTTATGCCGCTCCTGTCAACGACGGACATCAAGAAAAAGTTAAATGTTGGTAGTTTACTGTTGAATTATTTAGGAGATGCAACAAAGAGTATCGAATGTCAAGACATCGGGCAGTTTATCGATAACATCATACCATGGTTAAGCAACGGCAATCCTAAGGTAACATCTCTCTTCAATCATTTTCTCTTAGGAATTAACATTATGAAAATCTTTAGATAACATTTACAATTTTCAACTTTCACATTTAACTAATTTATATACGAAAACATCGTGCTCCTTTATCGTTTCTCGATTTCAAATATAAAGTGAATTCTCCAAGTCATCACCAGATTTTGTTGTCAACTAGCATTTTTTTATATTTTAAAATTCCTTTATTATTCTTTTTAACACTGATTATGAATGTACCCATCGTTTGTTATGTAAACAAGACCATGCTAAAGATGTGCTAACTTTTTACGATTTGTCCCTAGTCATTCATTCATATCAATATGAAAATATTTATATTCTAATTTTCATTGTTATAATTAAACGATCAAAAACAAACAAAAGTTTGTTAAATTGTATTAAATAATTTTAAAAAAAATTAAAATCATCGTGGGGTGTGCCGGGTAACAAAATGACTTGTGTGCGTATAAGCAGAGGTGCTCATTTATTGAATTTCATTATGCAAGAAAAGGTAAAAAATTTAATTGTTAAATACTCTCAAAATCAGTTCATTGAATTTACGTAATCATATTATACATTAAAAATATTCGAATTAATAGAAACCATGATCTATCACATTTTTGATTTTCTCCCAGGATAAAGACATATTTGTGTACATTTTATTTTGGTCGACCTATATCTTCTGCGTATATATTCGAAACTTTCTACGCTCGATACTTGGGAATGGACGATGTTACCTGCGACAGCAACGTGATTGATTTGTAAATCAAATTCGAATTTATGTTTGGTCAATCGAGGAAAAAAGAAAAAGACCAAATTTTATAATATATATAGTCTTCACGGACATAGAAGAAAACAGATGTTGCACGAAATCTTTAGACAAGAGTCAAAAGATTCGACATTTTTTTTTTTAATTACTCGATCGAGTAATTAAAATCTGATTTATATGTGTTATCGTTATCAATTTTTAACAATAAAGTTAATTTTCATTTTCGAAAAGTATATTTCACTGAAATTGGTAGCTTTTTTTCCACATTTAAAGATCGAGTCAGTTGTATAATCTCAAATCTTTTATTCATATTCTATGTTAATAGGTGATCTAATTATTTCAAAGTTTTAAATTTTAACTTTTATTCTATGGATATGATTCTATAAATATACATATCATTTTAAACCTATCATATATATTTCATTCGTATTAGGAATTAAATTGAAATTTCTTTCAAATTTACTAAAAATCAATAATACATTTCTAGTTTGAATAATATTCTTCGTATGACGGTATTGTAACTAATTATTCTCGATTAAAATAATCATTTGTTTACATCATGTGGTCTAAACGAAAACGATTATTTACAACGAGTTCACTCTTCTTCAAGATACCAGAAAACTTGGGCTGGTTCTGCCTCAGGAACGTATATGGGAAAAACTTTCACACCATGTACGTAAAGTGTCCTTTGGTACAGTATGTCATGGAGTATGTGATTGAACGATTGGCGTTTAGTTGAAGTCATTGGTTTTAGTTAAATGTTCTCTGATAATAGATGCAGAAACTTTCGATGCAAAAATTTCCGACAGGAATAACATAAAAATTCACAAAATCGACGTAAGGAAGTTGAAATCATCGAAATCTAGACTCGTAGGCAGCTTCGACGAAACCATTTGTACGTGAGTATAATCCTTTCCTAATAAAGACAATCAGACTAGAATATTCTTGTCCACGAGTTGAACTGTCTAATCGTCTTTATTATTCTCTTGTTGTGAGATGCGATAAAGAAACATTAAGCGTACTATAATTTATTGAAATGTTTCTATTTATATTTGAATAATGTGATCAATGAAGAGAAGTTATGAATGAAATTAATTAAGCAAAGGAATTTTTGTTTCGTACGAATATTTTTTTCTCATCGATAAGCATTCGAGGGAAAGTTGCAAAGTCAAATTTCTTGATTCTTTCTTGATTATTTCCGGACGAATTTCTACAAACGGATTTATCCCGTCGCATGCACGTTTAGAACGATATTTAAAATAAAGAGACACACATCTTGTAGGTGAAAAATTTGATTCGTCTTGGTCGATAGATAAATCGTCGTAGGATGTTGTCGGCAAATAATTGAAAAATTAACAAATTTCATCGTACGTAATAACTTTACGTTATCCTGGTCTTCTATCTACGAGAAAATAAAGAAAAGTCCTTTAGATTTAAAGCGACATTTAATTAATCGAATTGTTTGCGATTCAGTCTCGTTCATAATATATGAGCCAAGGATCTCCTGTATATCACGCACGGCATATATTTCTCTGTGTGTAATGTACGAATAAGCATAGTAAACCGGCATATTTATATGTATAGTTATCCATTCATTCCTATATTTAGAATTGCTTTTTATTATTGCACGCGTTGTTACTCAGTTCTTAAGTTTTTCTCGCAGGTAATCAATAAGCGAAAGAAAATCTCAAGTTTTTTATAATGTTTTGTAGAAATACCAGGTGGAAAGTTCGGAAATTTCACATGAAAGGATTTTTTGTTTCTTTCGACTGGAGTTCAATATTCGTAATTAAAAGGAATTGCATTTTTAAAAATAAGATCATAAATACCAATTATTTACGCATCGTTATCCAATACACTTATCACTTGCTAAAGTCTCGTTACTACCTTGAAAATATTAACAGAATGTGCAAAATATTTATATGAAAATAGAAAGTGAATATCAAATAAATAGATAACAATCGTTCCTAAGATTTAATTTCTTTTTTTTTTTTTTTTTATATGGAATATTAAATATTGAAAATAGCAATAAGTATTTTATTCTTCGAGTAAGTTGTAATATATCGGCTCAGAACATTATGAAGTCCGTTATTTAGTCGATAAGATTAATCGTGAAAAAAATTACAAAGGCACACTTTAATATTTGTGAGAAGATTTCTAGTCACGTCTCTAGAGAATAAGAAATACATCATTGATCGAAGAATTACGACTTCGGACCGCTTGTTTTCTTAATGAAAACGCTGTGATTAAGGCGTGCAGACTACCGTTCGTTTTTAATTTTCACCGAGCCCACCACCATTGTCGTAATTTTGGCAGGAAGCCTACTACGTGATGAGCCTTCCTATTTCGACAGGATACATCATCTCTATCGATCTGGACCGAACTTTTTTTTTTTACGCTGCGGATATATTTGACCTTCTCGCAGTCAAGTTTCAAATCTTTGAAAAAGAATTTTATTTTTCAATCATAGTTTTCAATGGTAGTTAAGATTTTTAAGAATTAATTAAAATTTTAATTATGTTTTGAATAAAATTTAAAGTTTGTATCATATTACTTAAAAATCTGGCAATATTTAAATTCACGGAGAATTAACATCCGAATTAATATCTAAATTAAGTATGAATTAGGTCAGTAGTTCTGAATTGAAAAATTAATATAACATTCAAAGATTTATTAACTATCGTTTAATGGAAGTATTTTCAGATTAACAAAGGAACAAAGTTCGGAATTATTGTAATAATTCATATTTGTTTCGATAAGATTTCTGCGTAACTTGTCTCGTATCTTATTACTATTGAATAACAATATGCCTCATTATAGAAGATCTTAACTGAACCATTTTTGCAAAGCATCGGTGTACCGGTATTGATGTCAAGGACACAGAACAACGTAAATTGCGGTCCGTAATCTTCTCTCTCTCTCTCTCTCTCTCGCTCGCTCGTTCGCTTTTTCCCTATCGTTTTCCCGTTTCTTTTCTTCGTCGTAAACGTTTCCTTTTTTGAATTTAAAGCATGACATCACCCTCGCCTTGTGGTGATCTCGATGCTTTTTTTTGTGTCGCATTAGTTTGTGTTATTTCGTGCAACTTGCATAACTATACCTTTGCACGTCTGATCGCGATTTTATTCGCGTAAAAACGATAGGTGTCTTGATAATGCGAACTGGAATTCACAGCAACCGTCCTGTTATTTCATTAATTATTAATAACTGGCTGCTAACAGCAATTACACTTTTAACTGGATGCGTCGGTATCTCGTCTCAAAAATCACGTATTATGCATAATAGATGATTTTCGAGATCAAAGATGAATCCGAGAGAGAGAGAGAGAGAGAGAGAGAGAGAGAGAGAGAGAGAGAGAGAGAGAGAGAGAGAGAGAGAGAAGAAGAAGAAGAAGAAGAAGAAGTAAG